ACTGAGCCAGAAAATAGACTGTTTTCATTGCCATTTAAATGCATAATTAGAGTCATTTGTATGAAGGCTTACACATATTATTCATCAAATACTATGTGTGTGTGTCACAAACTCATGGCTGTGGCAGGTAATTATTTTGGAATCCATTTAATAAAGCTTTTCATAAAAAGGAATACTCTTTGTTTCTTTCTTTTTTTTTAAACTTGTTCAATGCTTTGTTGACAAATCCATGTCCAGTTCTCAAAATTAAAATAATTACCCCTATATAATATTTTTACTTTAATTTTTTTGTGTGTGACAGAATAGGTAACAAAAGTGAAAGCAGTTATCGTTTTATTGCAGTCATCTTTGTCCTTCACGATGCATGCCAAAACCTCTGTTGTTTCACTGTTCTTCTTCCTTATTCTTCTGTAGGAGGCTGCTCTAAAAATAGCTCTGGTAATAGATGTTCTACACAGGGTCAGATTGCTGAGTCATTTGGTTCTTTTGTGAAGTTTAGGAATATGGAGAACAGTGTCTGGGTAGAGTAGGACAAGCATGTTTTTCAGATGGCAGGTTGTTATTCTTTTTTTAAAAATTACAATCCTCTCAATAATTTTATAATTATGTTTATTCTTAAAACAGTTCTATTTTCAAAATAAAAAAATGTCTTTGAATCTTACTTCAAAAAGTGTTTTGAATGAGATTCTTTGAAATGTGTTTTGTTAAATATAATGAATTTAAGAGTGTGAAAAGAATTAATAGCAGATAAACTATAACTATCCCCCTAGATGCAAATATTTTCTTTCATCTTCCTTTTTTCATCTTGAGTATGTTAACAGTCTGCTTTCTTAGAAATAATTTCTCTACCTGTGAAATAGTTCCCTCCAGGGAAGAATCCTTGGGAGTGCTTAATGCTTGATGATAAAACACATGTTGACTTTTTTCTCAAAGAAGAGGAAGATTTAGCTTCCTTGTGTTATCCTTATCTCCCCATTTCCCCTTTTCCCATCATTCAAAAGTAATTATATCATATTATTTTGGGAAACAGATTGTCAAACTCTGGCTCCCCCAAAATTAGCAAAGCTGAGATTATTATTTACTGGCAAGGAAAGCACACTATCTTTACATAGACTTAATCATGTCTTTGAGGGCAAAGGCAGGATGTTTTTGAGGTTTCTTGGGGGGGGCTCTCATTTAAGATTGTTTTTCAATGCAAGGGCTTGATTAAGATTAATAAATCTATGATACAATGGATTAGGATTGGTGGACCCTGCAAAGTGAGGTTTTCAAAGTGAGTCTTGGACCGTGGTATTAAATTTTTGTTTTCCCTGTGGTTAATAACTATCTCCTTTTCTCCATTAATTGAGGGTTCTAGCTAGCTAGTATTAACTAATGTCCAAACTCTCCCAAGGAACTCTAAAATTCCTCTCTGTATGGGCAAAGACATTGGGTTATCTATCAGCTTTATTTTTACCCCCTTGGAGATACCCCTCTGATAGCCTTCTGTCTCTAATGTAGACTAGTTGCTCTTAGGCATGCTATACAGATGTTATCTGAGAATTTTCCTGTGCTTCTCTCCAATGGTGAATCTCATTTCCTGGGGCTTAAGTCTTTTTCTTTTCTAGTTCACTCTCTTTTATTAGAGAGTTGTTGTTGTTGTTGTTATTTGCCATTGAGTCTGCCCCAACTCATAGCGACCCCTCCTTGGGTTTCTGAAAGCACCTTCTAATAGCTTTAAACAAGTTTCTTTTTCTTTTTCCCTGTAAATCATTTAGACACAGATAAATGATGAATATGATGGTTTCTTTTTGTCTCATGAAATGCTAGAGTTTCATAACAAAAAGCGTAGGTCAGAGTAGTTAGAAAAATTAAATTATAATATTCTTACAGATATGAAATTTGAAACAACAAAAGTAATTATGGTTAATTATTTTTCTTTCTAAATTTCTGGAAAAGAATATCAACTAAAGTGGTTTTAGGGTTATATGTACTTGAACTCTGATTTTTAGTTATTCAATTTGCTGTGAATTTTTTATAATGTTACCTGTTAATTGCAGCTAATAATTTTTAAAATATACTTTTGCTAAAATTTTATTTGATAAATCAAGATAAACACAAACCATTATAATTTAATCAAGTAAATGTTAAAAAGCTATTATCACAAATTATAGTCTAATATGAGTTTATATTTTAATAGCAGGAATATTATGTCTTGAGAGGTGTGTACAGTTTCTGAAGGTGATAGGCTGAAGCTCAAAGAGATAAATATTTTATCTTAAAGATGCCTTGATTCAAAGGAGATCCAGACTGATGTCTCTCAGTTTCTCCCAGTTGGGTGTCGACAGCAGTACTTGTGCCCAGACATTTCTCAAGTAGGTTCCAGAAAGAATGTGGTTGAAGAGATTACTCAAGAGAACAGAGAGGTCTTTCAATTCCACTGTGACTTTCATATTTCTTGAGACCAGAGAAGCAAGCTGCCATTTTCTTTGGAAACAAAGGATCCTGGAATTAAATGATCCCTGGCACTAGCCACTGCACCCCTCTTTTCTGGGAATATCAGAGCAAGACAGCTAGCTGGTAGAGATGTTTCAAGATGTTCGCCAACATCTAAAGCTACTGCCTATGGAGGGGAATTTGGCTGCTTTTTGTAGACTTATTCCTTGACCATGTTTGAAAAGTTCTCAAAATCACTAATTTACATTTATTGAACAGGCTTTTCGGGGTGGGCCTGAGAATAGTAATGCCAAATGAATGGTGTATGTAGCCATTGTGTTGATCATGGGCAAGAATATTCATTTTGCATTGCTTAGGTTCTAGGCATGGAGAGAAGATTGCAGAAAGGTATACAAGGGGAGGTGGGAGAATGTCTTAAGCTGCATTCATTTCTCTGTGCTCTCCCCAGAACTAGTAAGCAGTGGCTCTGCCATGATTCTGTCACTTTATTTATTTTTTATTTTTAAATTTTTATTGTGATTTAGGTGAAAGTTTACAGAGCAAATTCATTTTCCATACAGCAGTTCATACACATTTTGTTTCATGACATTGACTTCAATTCCCAACAATGTAACAGCTCTCTTTCCCACTTTCTCCCTGTAGTTACCTCTTCCCTGTGTCCTTCTTTCCTATGCATTCCTGCCCCCCCCCATTCCAGCTAGCTCCCTGGGTTCTCCCACAATTGATCTCTCTAGGGAATGTATCTCCCTGATGTGATTGTTCACCTTCTACGCCTGTCTCACTTTAGTATTTATTTGGTATAATAATCTTTTAAAAATAAATAAATGAACCACTTTTTGGAAAAACTGGGCTTGTCTGTAATTTTAATGTACTTGCCTAAATGCTTACTGGAGTCTTAAAATTGGTAATTTTAAAAGAAGAGAAGAAAAGAGGAAAGGAAGAACCCATGGAAAGAAACAGTAATACAAGTTTTGACTTAGGTTTAATATTGGCCACAATAATATGTAAAAAATATATACTTATATTAGCATTATTCAAACTCATTTAACTGAGAATTACTGTAAATAATACTGCCCTTAAAAATGAAAAATATTTTGTATGAGAAGTGGCAGTGAGTTGTATTATAAAGAGCAGAACACTGGAAGTCAGGATAACTGGGATCAATCATGTCCTGTTTCAGCCTCTAGCACAGAATTTAATCCTAGGAAATCCCAACCCCATCATTTCCCCTGCCCTAGGGACAACGTTTTTTTGGGGGGACACTTTTTTTTCATGTGAATAATGAGGTTGTAGACTAGGTAATTAAGGAGCTCTAGTGGTAGTAGGTAGCTCTGGTAGCATAGTGGCTAAGACACTTGCCTGCTAACCAGACGGCTGGCGGTTCAAACCCACCAGCCACTCCTCGGAAGGAAGGTTGGGCAATCCTACTTCCGTAGTGATACTGCCTTGGAAACCCAAGGAGGGGTCGCTATGAGTCGGGGCCGACTCAACGGCACATAACAACAACAACAACAACAGTGGTAGTAGGTAAGGCATTTGGCTGCTAACCAGAGGGTTAGCAGGTCAAACCCACCAGCTTCTCCATGAAAGGAAGATGGGTCGGTCTACTTCTGTAAAGATTTACAGCCTGGGAAATGCGGTGGGGGTCACTATGAGTCGGAATTGACTCCATGGCTGTGAGTTGTAAGCCTGCTCTTAAGATTCTGTTACTTGAGTATACATATGTCATGCTTTTCAGGTTTATGTCTTTTCACTTAATGAAATTAGATAGCTTTGTTTGTATTTATTTTTTAATCATCTGAGCCTAAACTTCCATATTTGCTGAGACAGCAGTGGTTCACTTTAGGGTCCTATACTTAAATTGAACAGGGTAGATTTCCAGATGTAAGGACCTCTTGTTACTTGCTTAGATTGGAAATGCCCTTACAGTCAGTGTCCTTCAATGACACTTGTGTATTGGTTCATTTGTAACTGAGTAACCCACCAGCCACTCCTCGGAAGGAAGGTTAGGCAATCTATTTCTATCACCTCGGAAACCCAAGGAGGGGTCTCTGTAAGTCGGCTCCAACTCGACAGTGCTTTTTTGTGTTTAGTATCTCTCCAAGGGTTTGAGAATAGTGAGATAAAATGGTTTTGAAATTCTCACTACTATTTGGAAGGCTAATTGCATAAATTTAAAATTTAAAGCTTTTGAACAGCCTTCTTTTAAAAGTGACTTTTAACAAATGTTTGATCATACTGTAGTTGTGCTACAGTTGAAATGCTGAAGCAGCATGTTGGCTTCTTTCCCAAAAGCATGCTTAAAGAGGCTAGCAGCAGCATCTCTCCCTGTTCTCTTCAGTGCTTTTTACCTTGCGAGTGGTGCAGCTTGTTCTGCAGATGTACTGAAACCCTCCCATTTAATCTGCAGTGGAGAAGAATGAAGCTCCGTGTCCGGTAGAAATCAATGGTGTAGCAAGGTTTCAATAAATAGAAATGACTATATATTTCAACAGCTGAGCATGAAGACATTTATACTTTTTTTTCTTTCAGCTGATGTATTTTTGCTTTCTGTTTCCTCCTAGAGAGATGTGGATAATTTGCCCAGCCTCCAACGTCTGTTTCTCAGCTTTAACAATATATCTAGGTGAGTGGAAACTCCCAACTTGTCATCTATTAATAACTTGATTGTGTGGTTTCTAGTGACTTAAATTGAGATTGTAAATCCTTGGCAAATTTTATTGACATGTAAGATTTTAAATTTGCAAATGATAGGACAGTTGTATGATAAAGTTCTTCGTGGAAAACAAACCTCTTGCGTGTATTAGTGCCTCTCATGCTCAAATGATCAGATTGGTATATCATAGCTTTTTTATTTAACTTTAGAGTTGCCCCCTTATAAAACGTGTGTTCATGGAAATTTCACCATATATTTTGTCCTTTGTTTGACACTCACTGCACTAGGCAGTTGAATTTGAATTTATTTAATAAATTATCATCTAAAATTTATATAGTTACTAAGCAATTTTGATACACAGGGTTATATTTGTCACTGTGCCACTTGCTAATTAGGCCATAACTGTCTTCTAACTTAGCATTCCTACTTAGAATTAATGCTGCTAGGAGGTGATATATTAGAATATATAGATGTATAAATTATGTTTTCCAAAGGTTTGAAGCATATCATCTGTTATCATGAGGTGATGCCCCAGTCAGTCAATGTGGAAGATTTCAGAATTGAAACTGAGACATATAGTCAGACTTTTCAGTTCAAAAGGAACCCTACTGTTTCCCTCAATCTTCCCTCATTCTTTCTTTTTCCTCCCCTCCCTGCTAGCCCCTTAGTTATAAAGAGGCTTTATAAGTACTTCTCAATTCTTACTTTCACTTCAAGGCTGTTTGTTCTTCAAATTTGTTTTTATAAGAGCATAAGAATTAAATTAAATGTATCAAATAGAGTTTATAGCATATCTCTTCCTGAACTCTAGGTCTCTATACTTCTGATAATTAAAAACCAGTTTAGTTTTTATGTGTTTTTCTGTTTATATCTTTTTCCTCTTCCATCAGACTTAAGTGTTAATTAACCCCATTTCCCTATAGTATATCTCCAAAACAGAGATTCCCTCCAGATGGGAAGCTTTGCATATAGGCATAATTTGAGAAGAAGAAATGTAAAGTGTTCTGAAAGACTATCTCAGTTTATGTTGGAAGGCAGCATTCCAGCTGCATTTCTATGTTGTTGAGGAGGAAAAGTTTCTTTTCAATGACAATGGAGGAGACACTAAATTTTCTTTAGGATTTCTGCCTAACAAAACTCACTGCCCTCGAGTCAAATCCAACTGAGTTGGATCCAACTCATAGTGACCTCTCCTTGGGTTTCTGAGGCAGTATCACTATGGAAGTAGACTGCCCAGTCTTCCTTCTGAGGAGTGGCTGGTGTGTTTGAACCGCCAACCTTCTGGTTAGCAGTCAAATGCCTTAGGCACTATGCCACCAGAGCTCCCAGGATTTCTGCCTCAAGACTATTAATATTTGTTAACATATCTCACAATTTGTAAAACATTAGCTTTTATGGTAGAAAACATTACTTATTTTTATCTCATCTTGTTTATGGGGAATAATTTACCTAGATAGATGTAGATTAGGGTATGCAGACAGTCCCTGGATTACTAATCACATGAGTTCCATTGCTAAATTTGTCTTTAAGTCAAATTTGTACCTAAGTCAGAAGAGTATGGCACATTTCATATCTAACGTTAATTAGTCAAATGTTTGTCTTAGTATATAGTATATAGTGTACCTTTCTATGCATAAAAAATTAAACACTTCCACTAAAACATCTTTAATATAGTAATAATAATAATGTTTTGATGTGTATTACATAGAAACCATTATATGTACTTTAGATTTTTAATGTAAGCTTTACAGGGGTTCGTTCATTACTACAAGTTGAACATAAGTTGGATGTTCATAGCCTGTATTAGGGGTTCCCAAGCTCCTAGAACTTCTGAACTCTTGACCCTGTAGGGGAGTAGGTTTGGTTGCTTGTATTTAGGGAATTTTCTTCTCAATGTAAAAAGGAATTTCACTCACCAAGAAAAATAAAATATGATTAACAGAATTATATACATATATTTCCTTTAAAAGTGTGATTTTTGAGAAATTGAGATAAAAATGAGTCACCAATCTCAAGGCTTTCATTCTTTTACCTTCCTCTATTGCTTCCAGCTGATCTACTTTTGAGGCTAAGTACATTTTCTGCCCTGTTCCTGTTGATGCATGTGGTCCAAGAGATGGTATAGAGAATATACTGCATCTGAGGAGGAAAAATCAGAAGGAGCAAGCCTTGAAAACGTTGCTATGAACTTTATTTAAGACACAGATATATATCTCAGATGAAATAGCTGGGCTGTCAGCTGATCTGTAATGATAATGACAGTAGTTTTTCAGGACCCCATTGTCTTGCTGGGGTCTTGGCATAGTGAAGTTGCCTTTGTATTCAGTTCAGTGGCCTAGCAGGAACATAGATGAAGAGTAGAAGCAGCAGTGTAAAGCTGAAAGTCAGTATCTTTCAGGACTCCCTCTGGAGAATACTCTGATGGCATCCAGCAAATGAAAACATCTAGCTATATATCCATTTTGGGGAGGCGAAATTTATTGGCTGTTATAGAGTAGGGCTTCCTAGATTTTGAACAAATTTTTGGATTTTTAGAGACCGTTTGTATAAACTGTAAAATGCCCAGTGGATATTCAGAAAGTTCCCAACTGTGATGGTACTCCATGGTATTCAGAGAGCTCCAACATAAGATGACTGTGTACATAATTGACCATTATGATGGGCTTAGTGGTCAGAACACTTTTTGTGTGTTTCCCTGTAGATATTGGAACAATGCATTTAGTTCCACCCCAACAGGCATGCAAGATATATTTAGAAAATGAATAGTACATATCCATATCTATGTTCTGTGATTTATTAGATTGATTAAGGGGATCAGTTATATCTCATAACATTCTTCAGCCATATTCATTTCATTATTCAGCTCTTCTTCTGAGTTGTTTTATTTTATTTTTCTTGGTTCTCAAGATCCTAATTTCCAAGTAGTTTGATTGTAGCTATTATTCCTAGTTTCTTATTCTTGTTTTATAGGCGAGCTGTATTCCTGAATCTCAAAAGTATTAAATATGTTGTTGTTGTTGTTAAGTGCCGTCGAGTCGTTTCTGACTCATAGCGACCCCATGCACAGCAGAACGAAACACTGCCCAATCCCGTGCCAGCCCCACAATCCCTGCTATACTTGAGCCCATCATTGCAGCCACCATGTCAATCCACCTCGTTGAAGGCCTTCT